GGTGCTGGGAAAGGCCTTTCTCTGCCTGAGGCCCTGGAGAACCTCTGCCATTCAAGAGACAGATAGACAAGAGGTCTTGGTGTACAGCCGCTTCACGCGTGTGGCATCAGCATGACGAGGATATGCCTGCACATCCCATCCAGGATACCCTTCCTCTCTTCTTTCTGGGTATAGGACGGAAGGGCTGGACAAACGGGCCCTTCTGAAGGTGGGCGGGAAGCAACTGGCCCCACTCCACATCGCGCTTGGATTTCGGACGTGAGAATCTCCTCTTGGCAGAAAGTCTGTATTGAATTTTAACCACATTTGCGCTGTTTAAAAAAATTAATTCCAATTTAGATGAAAAGGCAGGATTGAAACAGACTACACCTGTATGCCACCCGCCTCACACACTGTTGTCTTCTATGCCGTGAGAGAGGGATGGGGATGCACCCTCCTCCTCCATGATGACAGTGCTGTAAATTGCACCAATCCTGAAGCGGAAGCAGTGTGTGTGTGTGTGGGGGGGGGAGTCAGTCAGCGGCAGCACTAGGACTGGAACCCGGGTCTGGCGCTTTTCAAGTCATTTAGGGAAAAGCTTTTTAGCAGGGGCATCTGTTTTCACAAATTTACACGGTTGCTCAGAAGAGCACCGACATCCGCTTTCCACCTGTCCAGAGTACGGGCTTCTCTTCTGCTCTGGCACAGCTGAGTGCCAGCTGTCGAGATGCTTTATTTCTCTTATTATGATTAGACGATGATGACGACGATGACGACTTATTGATCACCCTATCCTGACTTGCATCGAGCTCTGGGCAATGTACAGTATGGCAATAAGCCTTAGGAACAACATACAAACATTAAATATAATAGAATTAACAGCATTAAAAACCAATTTAAAACAAATTCAAGATGGCATCACTAGAAGAAGAAGAAGAAGAGAAGAGATTGGATTTATACTCCCGCCCTTCACTACCCAAAGGAGTCTCAGAGCGGCTTACAATCTCCTTTCTCTTCCCCTCCCCACAACAGACACCCTGTGAGGTGGGCGGGGCTGAGAGAGCTCTTGACAGAAACAGCTCTTTTTTAAGAACAGCTGTGTCAGAACTATGGCATGCCCAAGGTCATCCAGCAGGTGCAAGTGGAGGAGTGGGGAATCGAACCCGGTTCTTCCGGATTAGAGTCTGCACACTTAACCACGACACCAAACTGGCTCTCGACACTAACAATCATACAATTGAAATTCTGGAATTCTGAACGACTTTAGTCATTTCCTACATTCTTTTTTGTTTTATTTTGGAAGGGGGGATGGGTGTGTGTGTGTGCGCGCCAGCCAAGTTGGATAACTGTTGCTGTCCCTAACCAAAAGCCTGGCAGAACATCTCAGTTTTGCTTTTAAAGTATGAAAGTATGAAACAGTAAAAATGACCTGTGTCTCTCTGAATGAGCTCCTGGCATGTCCGACCCATGAGGCAAGCACAGAGCACCAAATCGCAGAGACCCAACAGGCAGCTTCCTCTAGAAGGCTGGTAATTATTGTTGCGTCTTGGCATGGGCAGTGATGGCCTGTTCCAGTTCTCCCAAGCAGAGGGACTCGGTAGAATTACTTGATCTCTGGCAAAGGGCTGGGTGGAAAGAGGCAGGACCAGAGCAGAAAAGGCAGCCACCCTGTACCACCTGGGCTGCTATTTTGGGCTCACGGGGCCCTCGAGTTATTCTATTACTTCCGTAGCACTCTAGAAGTTACTGGTGGAAGTTTGCAGTTAAAGAAGCAGACGGTCAAACTACGGAGACACAAGGAAACCGAAGGGCAGGATGTGAAAAGGCAGGCTGAGGAGCTGAAAGTGGGAGAATGGCTAATATTCACACACACATCCTTAACTTTAGAAATCTAGCTGGAGGCTCTATGGTTATTGCTAACTTGGCACTGAAGCATCTACAGGTGCTGCTAGGGAAGCAACAGAACTCTGATCCACTGGTGTGCGTGGGGGGGGGGGAGAATGTGTGTGTTCCAACTCCCCCAGCACCACCACCAACAAAAAAATTCACTCCCCAAACATGCAGATATTCTTTGCCCAAAAAAACCCTACCCAAAGCTCACTCTGCCCCCCACTCTTGCAAGAGAACACATGAATCTCGGCACCAAAGCAAGAGAAGAGACAGCCGAGTCCAGTGGCTAAGAGTCTTGAACAATGAGCTGGAAAGTCCTCCGCTCCAAATCTCTTGTCTGCGATACACCAGCCAGGGGGACTGCGTCAGCCCCCACCCCCACCCCCGATACAGGGATAATAATACTTAACAGGGTTGTTGCAAAGCTAGCAATACACACAGAGCCTTTTGGATTATTCAAAGCATTATCGGAATCCCTGTTATCACTGGAGCCCTGACGTGGATGGCCCAGGCTAGCCCGATCGGGTCAGGTCTCGGAAGCTAAGCAGGGTCGGCCCTGGTTTGTACTTGGATGGGAGACCGCTGAGGTAGCCCAGGGTCGTTATGCAGGGGCGGGCAAGGGCAAACCTCCTCGGCTCATCTGCTTGACCTGAATCGCCCAGGCTAGCCCAATCTGGTCAGGTCTCAGAAGCTAAGCAGGGTCGGCCCCGGTTAGCACTTGGATGGGAGACCACTGAGGAAGTCCAGGGTGGCTGCACAGAGGCAGCCAATGGCAAACCACCTCAATGTCTGAATGTCTCTTGCCTTGAAAACCCTGCAGGGCTGCCATAAGTTGGTTGTGACCAACAGCAGCAAAGGGGTGTCAAAAACATTCATTCAGCAATCCATGGCCACGGTGACCATTTAACAATGTGACCATTTAACAGATTCAGGCCATGTCAGCCTTTACCCTCCCCTCCTGCTTCGTAAGCCCTGTAAGCATCTTGTTCGTATTCCCATTAAAAGAAGAGATTGGATTTATACCCTGCCCTTCGCTACCCGAAGGAGTCTCAGAGCAGCTTACGATCTCCTTTCCCTTCCCCTCCCCACAACAGGCACCCTGTGAGGTAGGCGGGGCTGAGAGAGCTCTTTTTGAGAACTGCCCATGAGAGAACAGCTCTGAGAGAACTTATGACTGACCCAAGGCCACATCAGCAGCTGCACATGGAGGACTGGGGAATCAAACCCAGTTCTCCCGGATTAGAGTCGGCGCTCCTAGCCACTACACCAAACTGGCTCCAGTTAAAAGGACCAGGTAGGAGATAATGAACTTCCTGCCTCTCATAAGCAAGCCCTGGAACATCTCCTTCTCCTTCGCACTACGTCCCATTTTCATGTTTGCATTACCCAGGAAACTGCAAGCGCGTGTAAGCAAGTTTCGCAACTGAATGTGACCGTTTTAACAGATTCGGGCCATGTCAGCTCTTATATGCTTTCTAGGTTTCTACTACAGCTTAATTCTGTAATTAAATATTCTGTTGATACAGGTGGGGAGAAATGTAATTTCTTAGGAGTGCTTGTTATTGTCGGCTGTGCCGCCATTGGGGTTGGGGAGTTCATTCTGTCTTGTTAATTGCTACTGCATTCCTATCCCTGTGGCTATGCCTTTGCTGAAACGCTTATCTCTACAGATGTGCAGGAGGTTGTGTTGTCTGGAGAGCTCCTGTGTACCATGAGAGACTACGAGTTCTCAGCTTTAGCCACCTAACGGTAGCCTGACTTATCCCGCGCAGGAGGGTGCCTAATTGGCTATTTGGCCAATGCCATGGGGGGGGGTGCATACGAATACCCTATATCCTATTATGCTCTGCTGGCTGTGGCCATTCTTAACAGTGCCCAGGGGTCGTTTCGTAGAAAAAGAACTAGGGGGACTCATTAGCATAACTCATTAGCATATGCCACACCCCCTGACATCACCGGAAGTGTCCTCCCCACAGCCGGCGGCGACCTCCAGCGGGCACCAGCAGGGAGCTCCAGGACCCGCCCTCCCGCACCTCACCCGGGGGGATGGCGTCCCCCCGCGTCCCCCCCCCAAATGACCCCTGACAGTGCCTATGTTACTGCATCTATAGTTACTCTACTGGCTGTGGCCATTCTTAACAGTGCCTATGTTACTGCATCTATAGCTTTGCAATAAAAGTATAGCCGTTCCTAAATGTGTGTACTTCGTTGTTAGCTGTGGGTTCTGACAGTTATGGGCTACAATAAATACTGAATTAATTCCTTTGTGGCTAATGCGAAACCTGACCACGATGCACCCGTCTTTCGGCAAGATGGGATTTTGTTCAGCACTACACCTAAGGTTGCCAGCTCCGAGTTGGGGAAGTACCTGGAGATTTGAGAAGGGTACCTGGAGCCTGAGGAGGGTGGAGCCTGAGGAGGGCGGGGTTTGGGGAGGGGAGAGACCTCAGCAAGGTACTATGCCATAGAGCAGGGGTGTCAAACATGCGGCCTGGGGGCCGGATGAGGCCCCCCGAAGGGCTTCCATCAGGCCCCCCGTGGAACTGGCCATCTCCTGCTTCCAGTTCTGCTGCTGCTGCTGCTGCATCACAGCTTGCTTTGCCAGACTCTCTTAATCACTCAGCCATTTCATGTTTTGACCTGGGTCCTAGGCTCAGAACTCTGAGCATAAGATTTCTGTGGTGAATGTCAATCCATCGAAAGTAGGTTTGCAGCTTACAGAGCTAATGTTTTAAGCATGTTTTTATTTTAAGTTAAAAAAAAACCCTTTGTGTTTGTGTCCTTTATAAAGTTTATATCTCCGCTGCCTGGCACTACATTTTATGACACACGTGGCCCGGCTCGACAAGCTCTCATTTATGTCAGATCCGGCCCTCATAACAAATGAGTTCGACACCCCCTGCCACAGAGTCCACCTTCCAAAATAGCCATTTTTCTCCAGGGGAACTGATCTCGACCGTCTGGAGATCAGCTGTAACAGCAGGAAATCTCCAGACCCCACCTGGAGGCTGGCAACCCTAACAATCTCCCCCTCCGGGGCATTTCGAAGCTGCTATTCAGCTGCCTTCTCTGCTAGTTAAGTTCACTTACGCTCCCAGAGGAAAATGAGGCGGCTCGGAGCCTGCGCAGGCGGGGAGAGTAAATCCAGTACTTGCCATCTGTGAACTGGATGTCACGCCAGGACAAGGGAGGGAAGGAGGGAGAAAAACAAAGATAAGAAAGAATGAATGGAAAACAAAACAAGAAGACGGTAAACCTCCTATAAAGGATGTCTTACATATGGAAGAAAAGAAAAGAAAAGAAAAGAAAAGAAAGAAGGAAGGAAGGAAGGAAGGAAGGAAGGAAATAAGGAAGGAAGGAAGACAAATAGATGGGGAGAGAGAAAGGAAGGAAGGAAGGAAGGAAGGAAGGAAGGAAGGAAGGAAGGAAGGAAGGAAGGAAATGCTGTGGGAAGAGAAGGTTGTGGGAAGAGAAGAACACCTCTAGAGTTCAGCTACACCACGCTTTGCCCCTTCCTTTCTTCAGGGAAGCATATTTACACCCGGCAGTATAACTTACTACCAAAATATTTTTGCAAACTGTGTGAGTTCAGTAGCCACCGCAAAAGCAATGCTCGCAGTTTGGAAACCACTTTCCAACCTTGGTGTTTACCTTCGTCCTGTGATTCAGTTCCCATTTTACGTGTGACTGTGAACAGATCCAGAGTGGGGGAGACAGACCGTTGATGTATTTAGAATATTTATAAACCTGCCTTTCTTCCGAGCATCTTGGGACCCGAGACTTGTCGGTGCGAGATGAGGAATCCATGATGCAAAGCACTGCACACCACCACACACTCCCATGCATGCAAACAGGAGCCTGGGAAGTGAATGCTATTCCTCGCAACAGAAAAATATCTGTCAGGTTTCTCTTTTGTGCCGAGCAGCAGTCTATCTCTGGAAAAGGCCAGGAGTGAGAGGTGCTGGCCAATACTCCCTCTAAGCTGTGCAGTCTTGTGAGCAGAAATTCTACTTTGTGAGCTAAAGTTGTGAGCTACTTTGTCAGCTAAAGTTGTGAGCCAAAGATTTGGCTGCTGCATCAATTAGTTTGTTCTGGAGCCATCCTTCCCGAGCTAAGATGAAAATCTGTGAGCTAATTCAGCTTAGAGGGAATGCTGGCCTCATTGGCAAAGCAAAGCAGTGCACAATCCTTCAGTTCTGTGGAAGGGCAGATTCTGGAACTGAGGAGAGAAACTCAGCTCTCTCAGAATTTCAAATTGCATTTTAAAAGCAAGGATGAAGCTGTTAGCCCTCCAGGCTGCGAAAATGAGTTGAATGTGTAGAGCAGAGGGCCCCAACAGGGCACCCGTGGGCACCGTGGCACCCGCCGACACCATTCTTGAAGGTCCCCCCCCCCTGGTGTTTCTAGAAAGTGAGCAGGGCTGCATGGGACTTTTGCCCAGCAGGGCCTCTGATTGGATGTGCCAATTTTTTTAAAAAAAATGAATGCTTCAGCAGCAGCTGCCACCACAGGACAAAGATCTTCACTCTGTGACTGGCGGCAAGCTGTTCGTAAGCAAGGAAAATGACTTTAAAATAATATGTTCGTTTTAAAAGGCAGCCTGTTAAGCAAAGCTTCTGCTTGAAATGTGGAAGAGTTACTCTCTGAGTCAAGTATGATCTCAGTCCCTGGCAACGTGTGGTTGGCTCCACCTCCCATGGCGGCCATTCTGGGGTTAACGCCCACCACCCTGTGTCGGGGTTTCATAAGGCCTAGAGGGTCACAGTGGATGGGAACCTGTGGTGTAGAGGGAAGTATCCTAGAAGACACAGGGGCTGGCCGAACAAGACTTCCTGTGGCTGCGGGTTAACAGTTCCAGAGCCATACGGAGCCTCTCGTCCTTTCCAGGGCTTGCAGAAGCAGAATGCCTTCTGCAAAGAGAGAATAGGTAATTTCCCCCCCATGTGTTTTCAACGTGCATACCTTACCAACAGTGCTCCCTCTAAGCTGAGTTAGTGCGATTTAGCTGACAGTTTTTTAGCCTCCGGCTCACACATTTTCGTCTTAGCTCAGGAAGGAGGGCTCCAGAGCAGACTAATTTATGCGGCAGCCAAGTCGCTCGCTCACAACTTTAATGCCCGTAGCTCACAAAGTGGAATTTTTGCCCCCAGGACTCCACAGCATAGAGGGAGCACTGCTTACCAATGCCATAGATTGTGGGACTTACTTTCAATTTCAAAAGGCAGAGCACGCACAAGCTTGGCTTACTCTCGCTCAGACTGACAAGTCCGATTCGATACCCTCTGCCTAAAGGCTGTGATTGCATGCTGTGATTTCACCTATTTATTGTGTTTTAACTACTCCGCTGTTTTAAATACATATATATATTTTCTTTTCTTTTCTGTAAGCCGCCCTGAGCCTGACGAGGCAGGGAGGGCGGGATATAAATTCATTAAATAAATAAATAAATAAATAAAACAAAGTATGTACCCAAGATCTTCCCAGGGTCTAGGAAAAACTGAACTATGAGTCTCTTGCCTGGCTCCCCCCTCCCCCTCCCCCCTCGCACCTACACACACCCCGAGCAGTAAAGCAAAGCCCACTTCAAGGGGTGGCGATGTCAGAAACACGGCAGTCACCCACCCAATGCCAGCTGGCCGTCTGCAGCAGCCGAGTGTTAAAACGGGAAGGCACACCGCACAGCACGCATGCTTAAGCGCACAGATTCTGTGGCGGGCTTCCCTGAAGTGAGGACATATCGAGAGCGGAATGAATGCAACGGGGTAGGGTGTAATCGAGAGAGGAATTAATGCAACGGGGGAGGGTGTAATCGAGAGGGGAGTGAATGCAACGGGGGAGGGTGTTAATCGAGAGGGGAGTGAATGCAACGGGGGAGGGTGTAATCGAGAGGGGAATGAATGCAACGGGGGAGGGTGTAATCGAGAGGGGAATGAATGCAACGGGGGAGGGTGTTAATCGAGAGGGGAATGAATGCAATGGGGGAGGGTGTAATCGAGAGGGGAATGAATGCAACAGGGGAGGGTGTAATCGAGAGGGGAATGAATGCAACGGGGGAGGGTGTAATCGGGGGGGGGAAGAATGGAACGGGGGGGGGGGGAAATCGGGA